ATAGTTAGAAAATTGTCAGTCTTATTTGAGGCATGAGGTAATGGCATATTGCAGGCAGAATTTTTTTATTGCTGGATTCCACTCCATGGCACTTTATTCAGAAACTAAACTAAAATAAAACAAAGCAGAAAGTGAAAGCATAGGAAGGAGAAGAATTTCTGAAAATATCAGCAAGCAGGCTGGGAAATTATATGATTTTTTTTTAAAGGCTCCCTTGCTACTAATTTAAAAGGTGAGAAATTATTTGATCTTTTGGGTAAATAATTTTTTTTTCTCTACATTTACCAAGAGCTTTGAAAAACAGTCAAACTGCAGGATATGAGTTCACTGACTTTGTACTGCTTCATGCTTCAGTATTCATATAGATAGTCCATTTGTATACAAAATAAGATGCATTCACCACCACCTGCCCAAGGGCAGCATTTAAAGTTTAGAGATTTCCAAGAATAAGGGGATTGTACCCTGAAAAATAACAACAATTAGCATTTCATAGAGATAGGGGCGGTGATTTATGAGATGCAAGGACCATGAAAGAGGTTGACCTTGATAAATAGGAACAAGTGTAGCCTATGAAGCTGATCATTATACAAGTTTCATTTGATGAGAAACTCCCTTCCACTGATCCAGTGCTCATTTTTAATTATTGGAAATACAACCCAGCTTTCATCTGATGAGCAGTTCTTATGTGGGTACTAAGTAACCCTAGGAGACCAGGCCTCCCAAAATTTGGCTGTAGGATTGTGGCAGGTTTGCTGGAGGCCATTTTTTGACATTATAGTAAGAACAGTTCTTACAATCTCAGATGTGCCCAGAGAAGTGCCCGGTTGCTTGCTTTTGTATTTCAGTCCCTCACCAGAATTGGTCTTTCGTTTTTCATCATACCTTTTATAAATAATGTTTCCTTCTATAAAATCAAATTAATTTGATTTTATTTTTAGTAAAGTTAGCATGAAGACAGTGACATCCTAAAAGAAGAGTAACCAGGCAAACAGTTTATATTGTGTTTAGTAAAGAGTGGGTTTTCATGGAAGACTCATTCTAGCCTGCAGTGCAGGCTTTTTTTGCCTCAGAAGATACAGTACTTTTCTATAACGGGTTTTACATAAAAATGATGAGTTACATCTGAATTAAATGCTGTTCCCTTATTTCCATTGTCTTCAGAAGTGATATAATTGGAAGTAAATTCTCTATCCTCCCATTTTTACTTGTGAGGGATAGCCATTCTTTCCTTCTTGTTCTTTTCTCCTCCCAGAATTTATGTCCGAAGTGACAGCCTTCACAGAGCTGAATTGGCAGGCAGCTGCCATTTTGCATCTTCTCAATGTCTTTGGTCTAGCATTGTTTTTGGACAATTGTAGAAGAAATTGGAGATAAATGCATGCTCATCTTGAAGATATTCAACAAAATGTCCTGTTTTGGCAGAGGGCTAAAAAAAGATAATTTTCAGAATTTTCCCTTTGAAAAATCTCTCCTGAAAACTTTTGGTTAAGCTTTCTATTTCATATCACTTCATGTACCAATATATGCATGCATGCATGCATACACACTTACACATACACACATATACACATTCACAGTATTATGTTTCCCGGAGGAAAAGAAAGTGTTTTGTTATCTTCATATGCTAAGTCATTTAAATGCATGGAGATTTAATGATTCAGATAAATTACAATTGAGAATGAATTTTGTTTTCTTTTAATTAGGCAAGAAAACTAATTGGGACTGTTTAAAACAGCTTTGTGTTAGATAGCCTCCCTCTCCCAATGCAAAAGTACTAAATCATGGTTGGTAGCTGCTTCAAAAGGCAGCTGGAGAATTTGTTCTCCTCTTGTTTTTCTCTCTAGTGAAGCAACAAACTAGATCAGGTTTATTGTAGAAAGATAGCTTACACTACAGAACCTTTTGCTAACAGTTCCCAGTTTTTCTCAGATAGTGACTATGACTTGAATCTATTGTTACAAAATTTTAGTTAATATTAGACTTTGAATCTCGGCAGTTAGCATTAAAAGCAGAAACTTACTATGATCTCATTTTCACTTGGCATCTTCTTGTTGGCAATTTGTGCTTAGTATATCCATCCTGTTTCTATTCCCGTTTCTGCAAACTGTTCAATTCTGTCTTCTATCTACTGCTCCATTTCTAATTTCTATGGATTGAGACTTTTTAAAAAAAGGTAGGTTGTTCAAATTATATAATTTCAAAAAATCATTCTATATACATTTCCAGAATCTATAAATCATAACCATTTTTCAGCAATAATCTGACAAATCCCATTTTTCTTATCAGGTAAATTGTCCATCCCTGCTAAATCCAAGCATTTTAGTGTTTGCGTCTCTCTTGAATTTCTTATCCAGTGTAAGTCAGGCCATGGAGTGGTGGGGAAAAGTCTACAATTCCAGCATACAGTAGATTGACATTCGAAGAACCAGATGCATAAAGTGAAATTGAGATGGAGTGATGGAGAACAAACAGATTGAAATTAAAGTTTGATAGGTTGTATTCAGACTGTATGAATTTAAGAGTTTGCAAAAAAAAAAAAAAGCCTTCCTCTCTCAAGTGCTAGTGCAGTGGTTCTCAACCTGTGGGTCGGGACCCCATTTGGGGTCGAACGACCATTTCATGGGGGTCGCCAAACAAGGCTGTCCGCCATTTTTTCCCCTTTTCTTTGGCCACGCCCCTGGCACCCGGTGATGTATAAGTGATTGGGGGTCACCACAACATGGGGAACTGTATTATGGGGTCACGGCATTAGAAAGGTTGAGAACCACTGTGCTAGTGGAAATTAGAAAGAGGCAGAGACAAATCTATTCTGTCCTCAGGTAGAGGATAATGTGGCTGCCTTTAGGCAGTTGGTTTACCATTGACACAATAGGAGAAAGATTGCTTGCAGGAGAGTCCCATTAAACTAATTTTGAAGTCAATGCACTAGCTACCAATAGTCTTGAAGGGCCTGTCCAAAGTGCTAGCTTTTGCTTTCAATACTTCCACTACTTTCGGTGCAGGACCAGAATATATCAGGCAGTGCTTTGCCAGAATTGAATTTGCCCATGTGAACTAATAATTGAGAGTGGTCTTATGGAAGGATGGACTAACTGCTTATCTTTCGACCCGGTGCCTGCTACCTGTTACCCTAATAATTTTAGATGATTTCTATGCTATCCAACAAGTTTGTATAATTTCCTAATATACATGCTTCTCTCATTTGTTTTCAAGACGGATGATGCTGAGAATGAGGATGATCATCGTGTTCATAATCATGATAACGATCATGATCATGAAGAATGTAGCTCCTCGCATGCTGAGTTGCGTTTCCATAATTTTGAGTGAGATTGCAAACTTGTTAGGGCATGGATGTATCTGTTTCAGTCTGTCGGTTCAGTGAATAAATAGGAGCTCATTTCTCTGTTGCCCGAACACTTCTCTGAATTTCTCTGAATGGCATTTGCAAGGCTGAATGAAATGTTTATAAATTGGCTAGCCTACATCCTGTCTCTTTAACACTGTCTGTGATGATGTCTGTGTTGGGATGAAACAACAGTGACCTTATTAAAGTGTTTGTCTCAAGGAGTGTCAAACAGGATGCAGGAACAGGAGGAGAACAATGTCTTGTTGGAAATTAATGAGGTAAAGTCCTTGAATGAAAAGACATATGCACAGCAAGGAAAAGAGATGTGGAGGTTAAATCTTCTTGTACTTCTCTCTCTTATCTCTTCTAATACACTTAAGTTCTTTTGTGCCTCTCTAATCTGATTGAGAATGCCTAATTCCTCTGCAACATGTGCAGCCATATTCCCAGCCAAGTACTGAAGGCGAAATGTTTTATATATATAACTGCAGTTTGGGTAGTTCAATTTAATCAATCCATGCTCTAAGAAAGATATGGTCAAGTTACTATAACACTTGACTATAGTCTTGTGCAAAGGTTCCCTGTTACATACATTGAACAATTCCGGGCCAGACCCATTGAACATGCTGATAATTTGTGTGGATTATTACATTTATGTTGTTTTCTATTTTCATGCTATCTGCTTATTTTTTTTCAAATACCAGAACTTAACCTGAAAAGTTCCACATTAGATATTAGCATGCACCTTCCAAAAGAAAGTGCGTGGCAATTAGAACATGGCCACAATTTTTCCTTCCTATGTATTGGTATACACATTAGCAAATATAGTTTGCATACCCTTATGGTACTCTCCACTACAAATATAAGCACATATACAAGACAGAATGACAAACTCCATATCCATCGGGTTGGGGAGTTGCAGATTATTATTATTGTGGATATGATATGATATATATTATTGCTTCCCTTTATATACGTTATTTTAGCTGATCTTGACAGAAATCCAGTTTGAAATTGGATGCTATTAAAATGATAATAATAAATTAATAAAAGATTTTTTTTTCAGAAAGTACCATGAGCATTACAGATGTCTTAGTATTTTCAGAATTCATCTAGAATCTGTGCTTGGTCCAGAATGCAGAATAGGTAGCTTTGGTTGTACCATGAAATATCCATGTAACATTGAGCTGCATTGGCTTCTTATGGGTTTCCAGGTGTAATGCAAAATGCTGGCCATTATCTAGAAAATTCTTCACAGCACCTATGAGAACAGGGACTGCTTATGTTTGATTACATCTGCCTGAATCATGACATCTAACCGAGAAGGCATATATTGGGTTTCTTTATTAATCTAAATCTAATATCATCGAATGCAGAGGTCCCCAACCTTTACGGAACCAGGGATCAGTTCCGTGGAGAGAGGTTTTTTGTGTAACAGGGAGGGCGTAGTTTTATGCGCTGCCTGCATCCTGCGGATGGGGCTTCGCTTGTTTGCACAGACCGGTTTCTGGCATGCCATGGACCGGTGGCGGTCCATGGACTGGGGGTTGGAGACCCCTATCTAATGGACTCCGAAGGCATGCCTTTACAGATAAAGCATCTGCCATTTGGAATAACATAGTCATTTTTTATTTCACTCCCCAAGATTTAGATGGCCCTATTGGTCTTAAATAAGATTTTAAAACTTGGTTTTAATCCACTGGATCATTGAATTCACTGGATCAGGATGTTAGTAATCCTATCTAGTTATCAGTTTATGCTGTTTCATGTTTTGCTTTTAGATTTTGTGGAGTTTTGGAGAAGTTATGAAGTTTTAATTTTATGTCAGTCCCTCAGAGTTGCATACACAAACAAAAAAAAATATTAATGTCCTGATTTGGACCTTCGATGCATCCAGATTTAAATTCAGAAATACAGTAAAAAGCATGGATGTCCAACCTTTTGGCTTGCCTGGGCTGCATTGAGTGAAGAGGAATTGTCTTGGGCCACATATAAAGTATATAATATAGTTGATAAACAACAAACTTTCTTTAAAAGTTTACAATCTTATGGGGTTGTGTATCCAGCTCGAGAAGCCAAATAAAACTCCAGATTCATTCCGTTTCTGAAAATCTTACTGTTTATTGAATACACTGCATGGTAATGTTGAAGCAAAACTAACTCCGAGGTTCATAGAATTAAATAATAATTTTTCCAGCCAAACCCCCAGCCTCTCAAGTAGTCCATGTAAACAATTTCACTTTGTTATGGGAACCCTCTTCTTCCTCTCCACACCTGCTGTGGTATCTTTGGAAAGGTTTCAGGCTCTCACGGTCTTCAGCAGAATTGTAGGGGTTTTGTTTCTCCATCTAACCCACTCTAAAGCAACACCTCCCCCCCTTACTCTAATGGCAAGTTGAAATGAAGAGGCACATAGCTGTCAAAGTTTCATTCTTCACACTGCGTTACTAACTGCAAGTGGCTTGTAGACCATGGGTTGGACATGCCTGGAATAAAGTTAAGCTATTGTTACTATAAACTATTCTCTCAACAGTTCTGTCAACTATTATTGTAGGCTAATGTTTATGTCTGTTTTTATAAAAAAGTAGTCATACTTTTTCTAATGGTATTTAAAGGTGTCAAAATAACTGTCCTCAACTGGACACCACTTAAAAAAAACAATTTCACGTCTAAGTCTTCAGTGTTTCACTATGATCTGGAAGTCCCATGAAACTCAGTGTAGCTCTTATGTCTCATTATACATGTGAAAAGATTGACCTGTAAGCCCTGCTTGATTGTGTACTTTGACAACTGATTGTGTCCTTAATAACCAAAGCTGTAGCATTTTAACTCATATATAAATTCCTAAAATAAAATGGTAAAGTTTTCAGATTATTGAACAATGTTTTGTCTATGAGTCTGAATGAAAGTTCAGCATGATTTTGTTTAAGAAACAGATTAAAAAGAATGCCAATTTTCAGTGAAGTAAAGTAGGAAGCACTTACAGATTCAGCTAAAAAATAGAGTGATTTTGGCAAGAAGAATTCATAGTGATTTCAAGGTTGCAATTTTTCAGTAATATTTATGAAGGTTAATTGCTTTTCCTTTTTACAAACTATAGATTACCCAAGAATCAGACTGATATTCTGGGGATTGGGTCAATAACTCTCAGTGTCCTCTTCAGACTGCCCTAAATATTTTTTTTCCTTGAGGCAAAAGCCAAGATGGCACCATCCACAACCATCTCTGTTTTCAAATCAATGCCATTGTCTGCTCTCCTATATCTGCTTTTTGAGATGGTTGCTTCATGGTGCCTAATGGTTGGGGCAGGTTTCCATGGATAATAGTGAACAACTGATACAAAAGAAAAACAACTCTATTGATTTAGAAAGACAGGAAGGGATAATGTTTAAGCCGTATGATATGTTTTTTATCTCTGATTTGGAAGAGGGAGTGAAGAAATAATATATATTCATTAATATTCAGTGAAAGAAATCTAAAAACAATTTCCCAATTTTAGAGTTAATTAATAATGCAATTTTAAGACTTTGAAAACTATATTTAGATTAGCTGAAATATATACAGAAATTATGGAAATAAAACAGTATTACTGAATGGGAAAAATACATTTGTTTTTTAGATTATCCCAATAATATTACCAAAGATAGTATGACACATTGGGCATTTTTGTACAAAAGGAAGATGAAATCTTCTCTCACAATTTTTTCCCTCATAGATCTTGGTTTTAGAAAGTATTTGCAAGCTAATTTGCTGAGGAAGTTGTTTGATTCCTGAGTCACTGCAGGAATAACAACTGAGCTTTGCCTCTGTTTTATATACTGAGTCCTATATTCCTGAACAGCTTGGAAGAAACTGTTTTCCATTTCCAATTAACTGTCAAAAAAGTGCAGATGTATACACCTATTTTATGCTTTTATCTAAACAGTTAACCTTAGGAGCCATTTTATGTATATTCGACAGTTAAACTAGGAATGCTTGTTCCCCCCCCTTTCTTTGGAGTATCGATCTCGCTCCATTTATAATTGCTACTGATGGTAAAGAAATGTCCCTCCCCCCCTTTCAAAATCTCATGTAAGATCCTTAAGATCTCCTTCTTTTGCTTGCAGGAGTGCGTTTGGATCGAGTGCGTGGAGGCCGCCAGAAGTACAAAAGAAGACTGGACTCTGAAAGTAGTACTTATCTGAGCTTACAGATTTCCCCTCCAGCCAAAAAACCATGTAGGTGCCAGACTCACAGTCTCTTTATGGATTAAACCTTCAATTTGCATTGATCTCCTTAATTTTTTATTGAGAGAAACAAATTCTCAATAATTTTAATTATACAGCAATTAAATAGCATGGCTTAAATAAGGTCATCTGAGGCTATAATGTACAAGTCTAAAGCTAAATTGAATGTTATATCGAAAGCATTTCCATTGACACAACTGACATTTTCTTCCAGCTTATCCTTTTGGGTGTCTCAATTCTGTTTTTCATGGAATCGCAGAATAAATTTATGAGACTGGGAGGGCAAGATTGATTCAATAATGGAGGCCATTCTGCTAGTAAAAGTATTATGTTTGCCTGATCATACTTATGAGAAATGGAAAATATTGGTATAAATATAAGGAAGAGTCTGTTATTTCCCGGCTCATGTAGTCCTTTAGTCATCAACCTCCACACATATATGATGCCTACCATCACCAATTCTTTTTTCAAGGTTTTTTTAAACTTGCTAATTTACCAGTTTGTCCATTGCTGATACTCTTTCCCTCAGTCAGTTAATTTTTCAAGTATTTCAAGATAGGACATTGGGGTGGTAATGATATTTAATTCTAGAAGCATTTGGCAAACTACAAAAATAGTTCTAATGCTGACACCAAATGGATATTTAGTTCATGCTTTCACCTACATGAGTCATACACTTTATTTATAATCCTTCTTCATCATCAATATATTTATTTTATTATTTGTGAATTAATTATCTATACCATAGATTAACAGAGCTCTTTTCCTACAATAACTAGACCAGGATTTGGCAAATTATCTCCCTGAAACCATACATGACTCCAAAACTTTCTTTTTTCGATCCAGAGCCTCTTCTACTTGTGATTGCTGAAAATCAGTGTGCAACTATTTTAAGCTATAAACCCAAGAAATTGTGATAGATTTAAAGCTTAATATAATTAAAGTCAACATTTAAAAAACTTTGACCCCAGACTCTGCCCATTCTTAAAATTTCAGTCCATATATGTAAGGCGATCCCAACCACTATTGCCCCTTACCTCCCAGTTATCTCCCATTTCAATTCCAACTTAACACTATTCCTGATCACCAAATGTTGCCCATCCCTAATTTAATGCATCCTCTTAATAATTTCTTGGTTGTTTTGAAACTATATATGTGCAGAAAAAACTCTGAAAAAGATAAGCCCCCCTTTGTTATAGGAGTGTTCATAGGAGTGTTATAGAACTGGGTGAACTATACAATCTGTGTTGGCTCTGCAGTGTCTGTAATTAATAGATTCAACAAGATCAGAAGAATTATGTTATCTGTGCATGTGCTAACAGAATCTAATGCACTTTACATAAAAATTGCTCATAGAAATGATCAGAAAAATAAAAAAGAGAAGTGAGAAATGAATCATAATTAATTTGTATTTTCTCCCAGGCACTGAGTTAAGGGTTATTGTTACTTTTTTCTTTTTGCATCCTCACTTTATTTCAGGAGAGTTACATTTCCTTTATAGAAAATATATGTACCCTATATAGATACCCTAACAAAATTCATTTTAACACTGATTAGTTAAAATATTCACCATTTTCAGAAATGGAACTTGATTTTTTTATATAAGAATCTTAAATATATCAATAATTACCTTAAATATATCAAGAGTTACCCTGTAGTAAGATGGGCGGCTGATACATTTTATAAGTAAATAAATTAACACAAGCAAAGATAAGTGAGGATCAGGAAAGAGTCATAACTTGGTGGTAGGATACATAGTTTGCATGCTTAATTTTACAGGTTCAGCCTGATAATTTTATTTTAAAAGGGTCCAATATCAGGCGAAGGATTGCCCAGTGAGCTGCTGGATCAAGATGAAAAGTAGTATATTTCTAATACATTTCAAATAGCATATCCAAAACAGAGGAACAAAAGTAGCCTTGCTTTCTCTTTTGTATAGATTTTTATTTTTTAGTTGCAGGAGTTCACCATATAAGCATATTCTAATTTCTGGTTTGGGATTTGCAGTAACTAAAATAGTCTCCCACTTGCTGGTGGCAGAGCCAGAGAAGATTTATGCTATGCCTGACCCTACCATGCCGGAAAGTGACATCAAAGCGCTGACAACGCTCTGTGATTTGGCAGACAGAGAACTTGTTGTGATCATTGGCTGGGCAAAACATATCCCAGGTAAGAAGGGAAAGCTAAGATGGATACAAAGTGGGAACAAAATTATTCTTCTAAGGGAACTGTAAACTGCTGAGTGGCACAGGAGCAATCCACTCTTCTTTAGCATGTCATGAACAGCAAAATGTTTCTTTCTGTTATTGCTTTCAATATGTGGAAGGGGAAACATCCATTTTGGACTAATAAAGAAAATATATGAGTTCCATTTTCTAATGCCACCAGGATGAACAGGAAGTGGAAATGAAACTGTGCAAATACATCTTATTCGTTGTTATTACGTTGTTTCTGTTTCTTGAGTTAAGGCACACAGAAGATACAGGGGGAAATCTGCATTCTTGAGCAGACAAAGGTTACAGGAGGACAGTTTGTAGCTTCAATATTCTTTTTGCTTGTAGTATGATTTCCAGCACAATTATTGATTTATTTGTATAAATTAATGTATCCATAGCTCCTGGCAATTACACTGTATATTTAGCTTTGACCTGAAAAACTCAAGTAGATAGAGATTTGGAGAAAGAGGTCAGCCTTTAGATACTGCTTCTCAGCAAATCTTAATCCTGGTAGTTCTCCTCTTGAAGGAAGCCTGTTCTGTTAGGGATTATACCGCTCACTAGTTGCACAATCTGCCAGGACCTGATTCAGCACAAACCAAGTTAGGCTACCGATTAAGGCAACTCAGCCTGAAGACCCAAGGGCTGAAGAGAATTAATAGAGAGGATAATCATGGGCCAAAGCAGACTATGGCTTCTGTAAAACTAACACCAATTATTTCATTTTGATACGGTTCTTCCTGTCTGAGAATTTCTGACATCATTTTGTAGTTAAACAGACACTCTGTTGCTCAGGTGGAGTTTTAGTTGCAGCAATACCACATTTTTTTTTTAAACTGCTGGGACATATACTGTATATTGTATGTATCTATCTAAAATATATGAAATATTTCCCAGATAATATATTCATTGTTTTTCTGGATACAATGTGGATTGCTGTTGCCTTTCACTGGTCCACAGTTGACTGTATCCTTTATTATTTATTAAAGCAAAATGTGGCATTTTGTAAAATACAGTCCATTATTTGAAAATTGGCATATTACTTAAACAATTTATTCCTTGACTAACTGAATTATCTCCGGATTTCATTTTGCATTTGGGGATAAAAATTCTGAACATATAATTCACTTGTTAGTTTTATGTTATTGGCGAAACAATGAAGATGATGTCATGGTTCCGTGTTTTAATGAATTTTGTGAAACCAAATTGGGGAACGTGGATGGTCATGAGAGGCTATAGGTACATTTGTCTAGTAGTAGATCTGATCCAAGTCTTTAAACAAACATCTACTAACTCAATGCATCATAACTCCCCCCCCCATAGTATCTGGAGGAGCTAGCAAAATGGGGAAAGGTGGGGCCAGGAGGATGGAAGTGATGAAACAAGCATCACAACAACATGATTCAAAACTGTGAGCGATATACTATGTCAGGTGTCAAAACTCAAGTGCATAATAGTGACTTTTTTCTCATGAGTTCACTGCATGTATGTCATCATTTTGATGTCATTGCAGTTTGCTGTAGGCATCCATATTTGTGTTGTGATATTTCTAACATGAGATTATGCAGTAAAGTACTTTATACAAAAAGTATTTAAATTGTATTTTTGTTAACAAAATTTAGCAGTCTAACCCAGACATGTAAAACCCGCGACGTCACATGACGTCGCGCAACATATCGAGACGGTTTTGCCATTGCCGGCAACGGTTTTACCATTGCCGGTTTTGCCATTGCCGGCACGGCTTCCGGATGATGTGTCCGGCCTGCAGGCCAGCAGTTTGACACCTGATTTTTCAGTTCAATTATTTGCATTCTCTGTTAATAAAGAATTATATATATCCATCATTAATATTTAGTAGAAAGGGAGGACTCAGCTACATGTAATAGTATATAATTGCACCCGTGTATTGAGATTTTTTTTAAACTTGTCATAGTGAAGCTTCCCTTTTGTTTGTCAGAACACTGAGACCTCTGTGTGTATATACAATGCCCATGTTTTAAATCTGTCTTAATTCCAAAACCTGTTTCTAGAAGTTCCTTATTCTAAGGCAAACTCCCTGTCATAGCAAATAATGAGAGAAAAATGTAAATATGTGTTTATGGTATTTATCAAATATTATTCAGAGTTACAGAATAACAGAGGTGGAAGAGACCTTGGAGGTCTTCTAGTCCAACTCCATGCTCAAGCCAGAGATCCTGTACTCAAACAAATGACTGTCCAGCCTCTTCTTAAAAACCTCCAGTGATGGAGCACCCACAGTTATTAAAGGCAAACCGTTCTACTGATTTATTATTCTCACCAATAGAAAATTTCTCCTTAATTCTAGGCTGGATCTCTCTTTGTTAAGCTTCCATTCATTACATCTTGTCCTGCTATCAGGTGCTTTGGAGAATAGATTGACTCTCTCCTCTCTGTGATAGCCCATCAAATATTGGAAGACTTCTTATCAATTCAGCCCTAGTCTTTCTCTTCGTTAGACTAGACATTCTCAGTTCCCACAATCATTTATCATATGGTTCAGCCTCCAGTCCCCTAATCATCTTTATTGCTGTTCTATGCACTCTTTCTAGAATCTCAACACCTTTTTGTATAGCAACCAAAACTAGAATTCCAAATGTGATCACACTAGTGGAGTACAAAGCAGTGCTATCACTTCTCATGATCTTGATATTATCCTTCTGTTGACGCAGCCTGGGACTACATTAGCTTTTTTGGCAGCTGCAGCACACTGCTGGCTCATACTAAAGTGATTGTTGACTAGGACTGCTCTCACAATTACTGCTGTTGACCACCAGGTACAACCTATTCTATATCTGTGCATTTGGTTCTTCTTGCTTTACTTTTCTCACCACTGAATTGCATTCCATCCCTTCCAGCTTTGCAACTATCCTTGGTATTAATGACCAGAATGTTGCTTCCACTTCCATGATAGGTCTCTGCAGGAAGAAATGTCTGTTGAGAAGTTGTGATGAGAGGGGCTCTCCCAAAGTGCCTATTTTGCTGTTACCCTGGCTAAGAAGATGAAAGCCACACACAGGATGAAATACAGCTAGTGGAATGACAGCAGCTGTGTCTATAGTGATCTCAGATGCTATAATTACATCTCTCTTTATTACAGCTGCTAATGGCACTCCAGGATGACAAATTATAATAAATTAACAGATTATGAACTCTACTTGCTGCAAATTATGCATTTTCTCTCTTTGAAAATTCTGGCTTTCAAATGCTGAAAAAGAATGTAAGGTTATGACTTCATGAACTTAAATACTAATTAAAAAGTTTTGACATTCGTCTGGGGGTCCTTCCAAGAGAAAAAGCTCTGGTCCCCCCCCCAAAAAAACATTAAAAGCTGCTAGAAAAAAATTAAACATTTTAACCTTTGTCAAATAAGATTTACAAATCTTTTTTACTTTTAAAAGTGTTAATGTTATTCCTTTAAAGTAACATTCCAGAGGTTTATTTCCAAATAACAAAGTTATTATTTAAGTTCTTAAAGCTATATGAAACTTTTTAACTGATGATTAAAGGACACCAGTATAATAAAAGTTGTCCTTCTGTAGATTCTTAATATCCAAAAAGCAATTTACAAGCAGTTTCGTGTGAAAAGGGTTAAGAAAGGAAATGGTCCAACCTGGTGTGTCTTTGAAGATTCTGAACCGCAGCTTGGGAAAAACTGATTTTCCTGGCTTCCAGAGCAACAGTCTTGTGTCTGATTCTGGTCTTTCATTTCAAATAGTTGCATAAGATGCCTTTATGATTTTTAAAAACCAACCACAGTATACACAGATATCTACTGTTTGCTCCTATCTTCCATCTTATTGGTGGCATTCTGTCACTGAATATGAAAGCCCTATCTTAGGTAACTTGTCTAAGACTTATTAATAGATCAAATGTTTCTATCATTTTTAAATGACACCAATTTGCTGTAATCTTCATAAATTTGATTATCCATGCATGAAATCTTTCCCATTATCTTTTCTTTTATATGTTCTGAACTTTAATGATTCACCTACAATGATATTCTTTTTAAAACATAATAAATGAGTCAACTAAATCTTTCTTTATAATAAAAAATGTTCTTAGAATGCTAATCTTTGAAAAAGTAAAGTCCTCAAATCAAACTTGATTTTTGGTGACTACATCCATGCATTTTCTTAGCATTGGCATGGAAGTGATTGGCCGTTACACATTACCATTTTTTTCTTGTTTTAACTTCACAATCCAATCTACAAACCTGAATTTTGTGACAGTTCTCCATCTAAGTATTGCACTAAGACTAAAGTTCTTTAGTTTCTAATCTGCCATTTTTTTAAAAAAAATTCAGATTGAATCTATGAGCTGATTTAAAGCATAAAATGATTGCATTTCCAAATGGATTTGGAAAGATATAAACATGGATTGGAAATTTGAAAGTCTTTTGTTTATGGGCAAAAGCACACTTTTTATGGATCAGTTTGAAAGTCCAAATCAATTCAGTTTTCCAAATCAATTCAAAAATTCAGATATGAGTGGATTGATTTTTCAAAATCAAAAGTCCAAATCAAGTTGGTTCAACTTTACAAATCAATTTAAGAAATTTGAATCAGATCAAATCTGATTTGCATTATTGAACATGAATTGCAGCAAAGATTCATATACAGTAAACTCTTGATTCTCCAGACCTCCATTAAACATACTCTTGGTGCAACAGCACACAAAATTACTACAGTAGGCAACATGTGTTGCTTCAGAAGAACTGGACAATTGACATAATGGAAGTCATTTGTGTCAATTAATGACATTTGTGTAATTATGAAAATTACATGTTTACATCATCTAAATCACACTTCCCGACACAAATGTACAAATGTCAATTCTGTAATTGGGCAGATGGTATAGATCAGGGGTAGGCAACCTTGGCTCTTTTATGACTCGTGGACTTCAACTCCCAGAATTCCTGAGCCAGCATGGGAG